GTGGTGGGTGGGGCTCATTTGTTGACTAGGGCTGGTTTCCAGATTTCTGGTAGGCGGGAAGGTATCGTCACATTTATTCATGTTTTGGGGGTGTTTCTCTATTTCAATAGCTTCCATAATTATTCTCTTGTTGAAGTGTTCAGTTTTGAAGATTAATTTGGTTCCATCAAAATTAATTTCATGTCCTGTTTGTATTAATCTCCAAAACTAAACACTTCAACAAGAAAATAATTATGGAAGCTATCGAAATAGAGAAACACCCCCAAAACATGAATAGATGTGACGATACCTCCCGCCTACCAGACATCTGGAAACCAGCCCTGGTAAACAAATGAGCTCCACCCACCACCCAAGTACTATTATAGACATTCCTTAATTTACAATCCGTCATTCCATTTATAAACGTTTGTTCATCTCTACCTATCCATTGCTAATTTCTAATTCCTGTGTCTTCTTCATTTAGTCTTTCCTTAAGCTTTACACCTGTCCTCTAGCCATTTGTACCACTTGTTCCATACCATATAATATTCTGTTTCCACCTTTTCTTTTATTTCTTTTGTAAATGTGTCCATCTCCGCACACTCTAACACTTTCACTATAACATTCCCCTCTGTTGGTATATTCTTCTTCTTCCAATTTTCCAGGCCCTTTCAGAAGGCTGGGGAGAGAGGTGGAAGCAGGAAGGGAATTTAGAATGAGCAACTTCTATAGAAATTGATGTTCCAGAGAGGTGTTTGGAAGGGGAGGAGAAATTTCCCCTTCTTTTTGTAAGCCGCCCGGAGTCCTTTGGGATTGGGCAGCATATAAATCCTATTAATAAATAAATAATAAACAAATAAATAAATGCCACGGTCTGAACATAACTGCTTTTGTGAACCAGTGATATTCTCCCTTTTTCTAGCACCATTGCTCTATCCTTATGGGGAAACCCAAGGTGACTCAGAAAACCCAGTAGCTGATGATGGGAATTCTCCAGAGATCTCCATCCAAAAGCCATTCTCCTTCTACGGCAAGAAATACGACTCCATTTTTGTATGTAATACCTGCCAGATGTAAACCTCGTATTTCTTTACAGAAACTAAGAAACGGGCTATTCAACTCGGCTTGTCCACCCACCCCCTGACTCTCAATATGGCCTTAATATGTAATTTCTGTATGCCCCTCTAGAGAGGGAAGAGAGGGAGCATTTACAGAGTTAGTTCCATCCCATATAATATTCTGTTTCCACCTTTTCTTTTATTTCTTTTGTAAATTTGTCCATCTCCGCACACTATAACACTTTCACTCTAACATTCCCCTCTGTTGGTATATTATTCTTCTTCCATTTTTCCAGGCCCTTTCAGAAGGCTGGGGAGAGGGTGAATCTCACCTTGACTGGTATGTTGTTTCAAAGGATGGAGGCCACCCCAGAAAAAGCTCTCCTCCTGTACCCCGCCACCCTAATTTCCTTGGCCAACGGGGTCCACAGAATGCCCCTTTTACCGGAGCAAGTGGGGCAGACCAATAGCCTTGGAATGAGACATTTCCTAAGGTAGCCTGTATTTTTCCTTTCCCTCCCCCGCCCCCGCCGCCCCTTAACCTGTAGTCCTAGGACTTTCTGGTGGCCTTCCATTCAAGGATTAAGTCAGCTCTGACCCTGACTTAATCTTTTTGAAATTGACCACTGAGGTGCACTTTCTTGTGTCATTCAGGGCCCAACAATACCTGGAACAAATTTGTCTTTCAATATTTAATAGCTGTGAACGTTTCTTCCTCCTCCCATGACACAACCCAGGAAGCTGGCCTGTCCCTCAATCCTGGTGTTGACTGCTTCTCACAAAGGATGGGGAAATTCATACAATGGGTTGAAATGTTCCACAGCATTTTTGTTGGTTTAAGGTCCCTTTTGTGGCCAACGTTTGTTGCCTTTGTAAACCTAGGTGTGGCAGAGACATATGTGGGTCTTTGTGTGGGGAGACATATATATAGAGAGAGAAAGAGAGAGAGACAAGACACGTTGGCCTTTTCTTACCGTACCAGAAAACGAAGGCATCACTGGTTACTGCAACAGCCTTGCACACATTCATTCAATCAAAAAAAGGAGCACAATGGAGAGGCTTTATATTTTCCTACTACTAGCAGCAGGTAAGTGAAGAGCTTAAAAGTTGGGGTTGTTTTTCTCCCGCAAATGGCAGATCCAGCCTAATTTCAATTCCTGAAAAGGAAGCTAGATTTCAGAACAAGTTGTGTGTAATAGTAGTCCGCCATGCTACCTTACAGAGGCAAAAAGCATTGCACATACGTTAAAACTTCCATCTATCTACCAATTCATACTGTATAAGGCAGTTCATCCTTGTATGTTATGTTCATCAAAACTAGATATTTAAAATGAAAGCATCTCAGTTTAAACCCAAGAGATCCTAAGTGACTTTTAACCTATGAGAAGAGGAGTTAAAAATTGACAACTGTATATGATATGGTTAATAAAAAAATAAGAATGTGTTTTTAATTGGACTAGCCACCTTAATAAGTGAATGCAAGACTTAATACTGTTTTTAAGTTTCAATACAGTGAAGCGCAATAGAATGGAAATATGGCTCGGTGATCAGGTTGCTAACACTCAGCCTAAGTTATAAAATACTATGGCCATCTTAACAGACAAGGCTTCAACAATCTATATCAGTGGTTCCCAATCTGGGGTCCACGTCCCACAGGGGGGGGGGGCAATTTGAACCTTGTTTAAACTAAGTTAATGGCCTTTTAGGTTTCCCCCGCAATTTGAACCTTGTTTAAACTAAGTTAATGGCCTTTTAGGTTTCCCCCGCATGAGTAGAGTTCCATTTTGAGCAAAGTAAGAAGTATATGTCACGGGGGGGGGGGGGGGGGGGGGGGGGG